GATTGTCTACATAGAAAACATCAACAAATCTACAAAAAAAGCTCTTACAACTAGCAAGTTGAGTTAGTTAAGCAAGGTTACAGAATCCAAGGCCATTATATAAAATTCAGTTGTATTTCTCTGTGCTAGCTGTGAACAACTAGAATTATAATTTTTCAATATGCCCTTTATATCAACATCCCCCATTGAAATATTCAAGTTTAAATCCAACAAAATATTTGCAGGATCTTTATGCTGAAAACAACAACAACAAAAAAAACAAAAACTCTTAAAAAAATGAATCAAAGAAGACCTAAATAAAAGGAGAGTGATATTACATGTGTGAATTGGAAAATTCAGTATTTTTAAAGCCGTTAGTTCTCCCTATTTTGATCTGGAGATTCAACTCAGTCCCAGTTCACAAGCCCAGCAAGATGTCACAGTAGGTATAGACAAGCATCTGATTTCAAATCCAACTAATTCCAAATTGACAAATCCTAATTTCACTTTTGAAAGAGACGGACAAAGTTAGAGACTCACACGTTAGAGGGATCTCGGTGAAGCGTAAATGAGAACTCTCTGAACTATTTTTGCAACTCCTTTGTCCATCTAAAATTATCCAAAATGACGTTTGAAATGTTTTAAAAAATCAAGTATAACTTTTGAGGCTTATTCCTGTGATAAAGAACAGCACTCCCCGACCATGTTTCCCAGCAACTGTTTTCAAGTACTTTAGCCGTTGCTTCTGATATTTACCTACACATTTCTTAATAAAATGCTTTTCCTGACATTTTGATTTTTCACTGTTAGGTATTATCTGTAGACTTCGTTCCATGACAGAGTAAAGTGTGACTCTAGCTGTCTTTCACTGCTATCCACACTTGTCCCCCATGGACCCATCACGGTTATTTGACATTTTGCACATGCGCATGCGTATAAGCACACGTATGCGGGTACTAAGTGATCACTGTTTGTTGAGCCACTTAATGTACTATGGCTCTTGCGTTTCCGGTAATGTTTTGTTTTTTCTGAATTAATGACTGACAATTATTTCGATCGCTTAGTTTTCTATGTCCTTATTACTAATTCACTGCAAAAATACCCAAAAGAATTACAATTTTTCTCTCAAATCTGTCTACAGATGAGAGAATCCTTCCATTCCATTGACTTCTCTCAGAGACACCACCCACGAACCCCTGGTTGTTCTGCTGGCCCTGAAATGAGTTCTCCCCAGGTCAACAGACACCTGTTTTCCAGGGGCTCCCACAACCCCAGGGACCCCCTCGCCATTTGGTTTGGTCTGCGTGTTCATGCTGGAGACTCTTCTCAAATGGGCATAAGATCATGTTTCATGAGGAGCCGCTGCAAAGCCAGTGGACACGGCCTGAGTAGGGTGCAGATGATCTGATGTGGATGAGATACTTGCTTGAGGGAGGGCTGACTGTCAGTGCTTGTATGTCTTATTTTTTTCCTGTGCCGACAAGTGTCTCCAGAAACAACTGGCAGGGTCCTGCCCAAGGGTCCTGGCCTGGATGCATGTCTTAGTCACAGTCTGGAATGGAGTGGGCGCTAACCACAGCTTCTCACCACAGCTCTCAGGGAAACTATTCTGATTTTAATTTTATTCCAGAGGAGGGTGAAGCCAGGAATTGAAGATTTGCTCTTTTTCACCCATTCTACACACCCATTTTCAGAGGTATTTAGTACCACCAATTTCTCAGACTTTCTGAGAGTTTGCGGAAGGAATGGAATGTTTCCCATCAACTTTCTTCCCTATGCACTGTCGTTTCAACCTCTCCAAGTCGGTTACTGTTTATCCATCTGCTTTGCAACTTCCAAGATAGCATCCTGTGTTATCTACTATGGTGTCTTTTCCCCTTGCTTTTAATTCCATCGTTTTAGTTGCATATTGAGAGACAGTGGAAATAAATGTACACTCATTTTGCTGTTTAACCCTAGGTTGACCTCATTTTCTTTATTGTGTTTGATGTCATTCTTCACTTGCATATAACAACAGTACCATTTTCTGACTTGGGTTCACTGTAGCTACACTGGCCTCACATTGTCCAAGCTGAATGATTAGAAGTATATAAAATGCGAAAAGATAGTTTGTATTTTGCCTGGTATGAAATTAACTCACAGTCATTCCTACATTATGGAAAGTTGTCTTTTCAGTAGCTATTAATCTAATAATAAAGCTAGAAAATGGTTCCTATTTTAAATTCATCAACAAGGCTTGGATTTTATGAATAATAATTTTAAAATGCCACAAATACCATCTTCATTGTGTGTGTGTTACATACATGATGCTGACTCTCTGTTGCAGTGGATGCTGAAATAATTGTGTCCTCCTTCTGAGAAATATGTTGGGACAAACTTGTAAGTTCACTTACTGCCTTAAGTAGTAAGTGATCTTTGTGACCTCTTGTGATCTTTCAAAACAGATTTTCCCTGTTTTGAACATTCTACTAAGGTAAAGATAAGTTTGGCTAATGAAAGTACTAAAGCAAAACATTTACACTATATTTCTCGTTTGATGATTTTAGTACAATTAAATTAGTATTTTCTGCTATCTTTGTACAATATTAATACCTGGGATGCCTATAGAAAATAAATTTAATTTACTTACCAAAACTCTACTTTAGCTGCCTTATGGTTTTATTTTCTTAACATTTAGAAAGGGACAAATTCAGAGAACATAAATTTTCTCCATGAGGTTGTTTAATTTCACTTGACATTTTAAAAAAAGTGGATTATATTTGAACTCAAATGCCACACACATTTTTAAGACTGATTCCTTGTCTTCTCTCACTGGTACACTGTGTTTCTCACTGTACTATTCTTTTACGTGCCTCGTATCTGAAATGAACCTGGTTTTGAAACTTTTTACATTTTATTTCCTGGGCTAATTATCTGAGTTTGTAGGGAATCACATATTGATAGTATATCTCCATAAATAATAACATGCATAGGCTGATAAAAATAAAGTAAATACATTACCTAAAGGTTTTTAACTACCCACAAAGAGCCAGATAGAAACATAATTTCGGTGTAGAGTTACCCATTTTCTAATACCTTCTTTAATTGAACTTACTAAGTCTTTGGAGGGGGGGCAGTGATGTTGTTTAAGCAATAAAAAACTAGGGGAAAACAAAGAGACTTCAATGACAGAATGATCCTATACACAAAGATCTAATTGAAGATTAAATAGTTATACTGAACAGGGTTCCTGAGAACACAACTTGCTATGTTCTCTCTCTCCAATGGAGGCAGATATTCCCACATCACACTTCATTTCGCTTTACTCTCCTGGGCCCAGCATCCTCAGAGCTGCTTCTCCTGTCTTACCTGGCTTGTTTTCTGACTCTCATGCTCAGCACTCTCACAACATGCCAATGCCACCCACGCCACTGAGATAGAAACAAGGTGTGTTCCTATACCTCACCATCTGGACCCAACCAACCTGTTTTCGTGCTACTTCTTCCAAAGCACCCTCTACTGTAGCCAAAAAAGGAAAAAAAAAAACCAAACCCTCTCCCCTTCCCAATATCTGTCTCTTTGCCTGAAGAACTTCTACTGATCATTTAAGACCCACCTTGAAATGTCAGCTCATCTGGGGACCGTTTCCTGATTCTCCCAGGTGGAGTGAATTTGTGTCCTCCTGCAGCTTCCCATAGCACTGTTGGAAGGACATGTCATTCATGCCTCCCACTGGAGGGTGGGCTTCTCTAGGTTTGGGGCTGTGGTTCCAGGACTCAGCTTGCATTCATGTTCATGGTGGGCCCTCAATACATTGCTCATGTGTTGTGAATGGATAGTGAGTAGAGAGAAACAGTCATCAAATAAGTAAATGCATGTGTTTAAAGTAAGAACCAGGCTAGTGCTGCAAATTACTGTTCAGATTCTATATGCTGTTCTTATTTTTATTTGTTACACTATCATGCTCATTTTTTCTTAGAAAAAATACTACCATCTCATGTTGGATGAGTACTAGCTTTAACACATAAGGAAGGAAATATCTAAGACTGATGGTGCTGAACCTTAGAAACCACTAAAAGGGAAGAGGTAGGCCTCCTTCATGGCCATTCAGCAAAAAGAGCTTAAGCTTTAGGTAGCAATTCTAGAAAAAAAGAATGGATTCGCTGAATATAAAAAACGAAATTGCACATAAAAAATAAATGTGAGTTACATGATTCAGTTTGATTATTTTAGCTGAAAAATTCTGCCAGTGCATAGAAACATACAAATTTTCAGGGAGTTTGATCATGGAGTAGAGATGACCACAGAATCTCAGACATTGTCGAATTAAAAATGAAAACATTGTTTTGATTGTTTAAAAATGTGTGGATTCAGATAATAAATAATGATGATGATGATGATGAAAACTTGTTTATGAGATATTTCACTCTTCCAAAGTCTGGGAAATATTTTCAAATGTGTAATGCCTCTTAAAAATATTAGACAATGCCAGAAACGAAGTCATAAGCCCAAACGATTGCTTTTGAATTTAGGTATGTGATCTATCTTCTCCTAATTTATTTTTTAAATTAACAAAACTGTGGAATATTTGTGAAGGACTGCTTATATTTGTGAAGGACTCCATAAATTAGAAACTTGGAAATAAATATATATATATATAATATATAGTATTTCATATGTTTAAAAACAAGATGATGTTTATTTTTTAGTATTTTTATTTTTTCTTATCATCAATTATCAAGCAAAAGGTAATGTTTAAATATTTGGCCTTATTAGGATAGTGACCCAGATTTCTAGTCATCATGAGACTTTTTCTTAACTAAGTATTTATTAATATTTATAGTATTTATGCAACAGGAAGATACTGAAGGCACTTTGTATTTGAGAACACATCTGTTTCAGATCTATGGAGTCTGTCACTGCTGGATTTTTTTGTTTATTTTGCTTTGTTTTTGTTTTGTCTTTGAAGTGACTCTTAGTTTGTTACCCACTAAACCTAATATATCTATAATAAATGTTCTGCTTGTTGTATCAATTTGTAGGTGCTATGGTCTTTGGAATCGGGTCACTGGATTTCTGAGGAGCCATTTGAACTTTCTACCTACTTCCCTGCAGCTCCTGTAAGTCAGATGTTGTTTTATGATGGTAAATGAAATTTAGTATTTAGTATTATCAAGAAATTATTATAAGCATAGGGATAAACTCAAGTTTTTATCAAGTCGAGAGCAAATATGCTCATAACTAAAAAGACATTCACAGGACTTAATACCTTTTGTCTATTTATGAGAACAAATGTGAGAATGTGAGAATATTCTGCAAAATGTAACAAGGAATGCAGTCCCAAGAAATTTCTATTATGAAAGACCTCAGAATTGCAAAAAACAAAAATGAAAAATGACTAGATTCTTGGGACAGTAGCATCATATATGTTGCTTAATGCTTATATTGTTAATAGAGATAGAATTGATAGGTATAAAAATTGTGGCTTGCTAGCATTGTGATGTGGTCTTTATAGTTTGATGTCTTTCCTAAACTCCACTTCAATTTTACTGACTTTTAAGTATTTCAAAATCCTGGATGGAAAATTTCTGTATTCTAACTTTTTAAAGATTGAGTAATAATTAAGTGAATAATTTAAGGTTTAGTTGAAAGCAAGAGTGTACAGAAGTTGGCTTTCATTTTCAGAAATGTTAACTGGTTTGTGACAGTTTATTCTTTCAGTGGATTAATATCTGAAAGATAAATGGTGGTTTTTATCTGCAACAGTCTGCTTGTTATTTAGTTGTTTGAGTAAGCCGTATCACTATAACATAACAAGAAGTTGAACTCTGCTCTCTTACCACTGTAGCTATCTAGGTTGTTGGATTGTTTTTGTTTTCATTTTTAAGATTACTGTTTTGATTTCCTTTCAACTTTATAAATGTTTTTTTAAGGAGAGAAATAGTTCTTCTCAGTAAGACTGTTAGAATTACTGTGTAAGGAATTGAAGTGGAAAGTAAAAACACAAATTCCTGTATTGTCTGTCATAAGAGATTGATTATATATAACTTTGAATAACATGATGATGTTTGCTTTTGAAATTCATTTTACCTGCCTACGTGGGGAATTGATATAAATTAAGTATGTTATTGCCAAATTTTTTTATATTATCATTTCCTTACCTTAGTATCTGTCACTGTGATCATGGAGGTACCATTGAAACTCATTACCATTTGATGCTGTGAAATTTTCTTATTCTCAGATGTTTTTTAAGTTGATACAAAGCCATGATACCTCTGCTGAATTTATAAAACCTTCTTAAATGTAAAATAGAAATAGTTCTAAGAGAGGGAGGTTCTTTGCTCAGTTAAATAAGTTGTTGGAACAGTACACCATGGTGGAAATAAAACCGAGTGCCTTGACTTCTCCAGAGTCCATAATTGACTCAGAACATGTAGCAACACGTAAGTGTTCTAAAACTAAGTTGGGGTGTGTGGGGGCAAGGCAGGGGTAGAATAAATTATATTTTAAAAATAGAGTAAAGAAAAAATAGTGGCAGAACAGTAAAAGGTGAAGACAGACATGTAGTAAAAGGTGATTGCAGATTTGACTAAACTTCCTAGCAGATGCCTCAAAAAGGAACACATGAGAAATTGCTTCTAAATTGTAAAGCATTACACAAATTTTCATTGATATTAATTATACGATGAAAACGTCAAAAGGAGTTGAAACTCTAGGAGTTTAAGGTTTTGCAATCCTGATCATAAAGCTGTATTCTCAAAATTTTCTGTAAACATTTGAACATACTACAAGCATCAGATTTTGTTTTTGCACTCCAAAAGGCTGGTGCTTTTCCTTTTCAGTTTGCTGATGGACATTAATAAAAACTTACTAGTGCAAATATTTTTTCCTTAAGTAAATGTAAGGGTGAATCTTGAGAAGTACAGCTCCGTATATGTCTTAAATCAAAGGTTTTTCTCACCACAAATTAAATTGTAGCCTAGTTCTCTAAAAATACATCTTACTAGAAGAGAAAATAGACCTCTGTTTTAGAATAGTGAGAAGATAAAGTCTCTTTGTCATGGAATTAAACGTATAATTTTCTTCATTATTAAATTCATTATTAAAAATCAAACTTTCTTGTTATGAAGCACAGTTCTTTCAGAACCAAATTACAAAATTGTAAATATCATCATGAAAGTTAAACATAGTCATCTCACCTAATAAGTTATATTTAATTTCTAAAAATACCTTCATATTTAACAGCTGAGCAGAAAAATAGTACAATCTTTACATAAACTAAAATGGCACATATTTCTATAGATAATTTCAGAGATCCTGGAAGTTTCCACCATATAAACTTGAACTATGTATTTGAGCATTAACTTAAAACTAAGCTGTCAACATATATGTAAATATGCTGTTTTCAAAAAGAAAATTTAAAGCCTCTAAGAGGAGTAAAAATGCACTAACTGTTTTTCCAAATATTAAACTGCTAATAACCACTTCTCAGAAAATCCCTGACTATATAAAATATATCATGGCTTAGAGAATTTCTTTTTTTAACTGTGATAGTGATGCTGAATTCAGGACATATGGATATTTACACGATCTATAAACAGTGCTTAGAGGAATGCAGTTCCAAGATTATCTGTGCTATATAACATAAGTGTTCTGTTTTCCAGTTATTTACTGATAAACTCGCACATAACATTCTTGGTTGTGACAGCAGCGTCTGTAAATTGTCAGTCTGATTCTCAGGCTTGGATTCATCCTTGCATAGGTGTTCAACCAGATCGTAACACCAGGTGTTTCGGGTTTCGCTTTGGTTCGTTATGTGATGCAAGTTTAGGTGATAGAGCTTACGGGGCTCTGATGAGGAGCACGTGGATCCCATCAGCACATAAGAGCACGCCCTCTGCGGAGGAGGAGGAACAGCGTGCAGCCGTGTCTTTTAGTGCTTTGGAATTAAGTCTTTGAACATAGTGTGATACCGTCTTCGTCAGGTGCACACAGGCATCAGAAATCTGCTGGTCGGATCATCATGGTTGTGGCCTTGAGCGAGTAGCCTGACCCTTTCCAGTAGTACCACTTAATACCGTTGAACTTATTTGTGTTCTGCCTTTGTGGGTAGTACATTCCGTTCAGGTTGGAAGGGCCACATGCATCAAACCACCAGCCTGTAAAAGTGAAACAGAAGGAATTAGGAACTAGGTAATGCCAACTCTCTCACCATGAAGGTAGAAATGCTCAGCCTACCTAGTAATCACATTCCATGCATTTAAAATAGGCAGATGCCTGTTTACACCAGTGAATTCATAGTTCCATTATGGCAAATGTTTTTACAAGCTTTCTTACTCCTTTTCTCTTCTGCTTCGTGGAAAGGCCCAGCATCTGTAGGCAGGAATCCTCCGCAGTCCTGATTTGGTGAGCACAAAGCACTTAACGTACGTACGGCACGGAGGGTAAACATTTGAGTAACTGTCCATGACTCTTCCGCCGGGATTACTTTTCAGTCCAGCAACGTGGTGGGCTGCACTCACGCAGGCTCCCTTGCCTCTACTATAAAAAGGTTTTTTGGCTGAAATAGGACTCAAAATGTTAGGTACTCAGTAGAGCTAGAGAGAAAAGAAATCGCTAAGTTCCAGAGATAAAAGGGGAATTTAGAGCTAGAGTGATGTGCTCACTAAGCTAGAGGCAGGGGTAGGAGGGGTGCCCAGCACAGCGGGGTGCGGTAGTGGACCCCATCTACACCGTGATCCCTGGGCTTGGCCAAAAAACAGGAGCGTGCCAGGTGCCAGGGTTTTTGAGAGAAAAGAATACAGTAGTCCTCCCTTATCTGCAGTTTCAGATACCTGCATCCAGCCATGGTCCAAAAATATTACATGGAAAATTCCAGAAATAAACAATTCATAAATTTTAAATTGCATGCCATTCTCAGAAGCGGGATGAAATCTCCCACCATCCACTCCATCCTGCCCAGGATGTGAATCATCCCTCTGTCCGGCGTATCTGCGCTGTCCGTTCTACCCGCCTTGAGTCACGTGGCAGCATCTTGGTTATCCAGTCCGCTGTGGCAGTGTTGCAGTGTTTGTATTCAGTCACCCCAATTTGATTTAATGATGGCCCCACAGGGCAAGAGAAGTGATGCTGATTCTGATATGCCAAAGAAAAGCTGTAAAGTGCTTCTTTAAAGTGAAAAGGTGAAAGTTCTAGACTTAATACGTAAAAAAAAAAATTATGCTGAGGGTGCTAAGATCTAGGTAAGAATGAATCTTCTGTCTGTGAAATTGTGAACAGTATATTGTTATAATTATTCAATTTTATTCTTAGTTATTGTTAATCTCTTACTGTGCCTAATTTATAAATTAAACTTTATCATAGGTATGTAATATATAGGAAAAAACATAGTCTATATAAAGTTCAATATTATTAGTAATTTCAGGCATTCACTGGGGGTCTTGGAATGTATCCCACACAGATAAAGAGAGACTACTGTAACCTTGATTTACATGTATAAATCTGAATAAATCTTAAAAACACTGTGTTAAAGGTACACATACAGTTTGATACCACTTATGTTAAATTTTAAAATAAAGTGAATGAACCTCGACTCCAGCCTACCCAAGCAGTAGGTAGGGAATGGCATTGGTAGGGCTGCTTTAGCCATACTTGTAATGCTTATTTCTTAAATAAAAATTCTAATGCAAAAGAATATATATATGTGATGTTTACACATTGGTTTACGAGCACCAGTTATTTCATTCAGGTGCCTAAATTCTTTACTGGTGGTAACAGCTGATGACTTGAGTTTATTGAGATTAACGTAGGTTTGATAAGAAGTTTGTGTGGGTTATCAGAATCCTTCAAATATTCAAGAATATTACAGATTGATAGGTCAGTTCCTTCTGGAGCTTGCTGTCCTTAACCGTAGAATTTGCTGTCCGTGCACAATCTAGCTGCTCCCTGGGCGGGGTCATTCTGGGTCCAGATGCTGGCTGGAGTCTGACCTCTTCACAGTCAAGCTACTTTCTTTCTTGGCTGCTTTTCTCCTCCCCAGTCTCTTTTCTAGTTCCATTCTCAGCCCCTCAATCTTGATTTGAGCAAATAAATATATTGTTTCCTTGGTTATTAATGCAGTTCTCCTGCTCTCTTGAGTAGCTCACCACACACGGGTGGTCTGAAAACCACCACCCTCTCACGGAGAGAGCTGCGTCCCCCATGTGGGGATGGCAGGCAGGAAACAGCATTAGGTGTATGTGGCCTCTCCACCAGCCCCTTCCCCTTTTCCAGCTTTAAAAAGGATTATTATGGTAGGATAAGGGAGACAGCAGGTTTTTACGAAGTCAATATAATCGCTTTCACTCAATGACATCATTATGGCTAAAAAGGAAGACCTGTGTTACCAAATCGTAATTATGCTATCTCAGGAACCACAGGATTGATGTTTTAAATGGAACCTAATTCTTTCAGTATTAAAGACATGAAACTTAAAAACATGAAAATTACTGAGTCTTACTTTATTTTCATAAATAAGTCCTCCTTTTGACTGTGAATGATGGTTCTTATTATGTAAATACACTATAACTTTGATCTTCTTGTTTTATGCAGTAACTTGTGTTTATAAAATATATTGACCATAGTCTTACCTTTGGTTTTCCTAGATGAGTAATGCATTAATTTTATACAGTTTATGTTCTCTACAAATTAAACCGTGACAATTTTCTTGTTTGCCTTTTCATTCATTGTGTTGTTGGCAGTTTTTGTTGCTATCTCAAACCTATCAGTGTTTTCAAGAACTAACTTGACAGCATTTGTCAGAGTTTTTTCTTGTCTCAGTCACTACTAACTGGTTCCCATTAGTTAATTTCTAAACTTTTAAAAATTAGAAGAATAAGTTTTCCAGCAGTTGGTTCCTATGACTGAACTCTTACATGTTTCTGAATACCAGTCTAGCCATTTTAAGTGACTGCTACAACAGTCTTGCATGTGGTTTTCATTATCATCTTTAAAGCAAACTGATACTAACGGTAGAAACATGAAAGGCCTTAATTTAAAGTAGACAGTCACTCATTTTAATTTGATGTACTAAAAAAGCAGGTTGGTTAGTTAGTTTCTTTGTGTTTATAAGTGTTTGCTATATATTAAAGGGATCCTTTAAAAAACGGACAACTAAAAATTTCCTGTGTGAGCATTAAATTATTAATTGGAAATATTTCTATAGTAATGAATCTAGATCATTATTTTGGTTGTCATTTTGAATTTTTAACTTTTTTAGTAAAGCAAAAGGAATTAAACCATGTCTCCAACATCTAATTCTGATCAGGCATGAACTTGAGAGCTTGCTCAATATCAGATGTCCCCGTCCTCGCCAGTGGTAGGTTGTGAGGAGACACAGTTGGCCTGCTGACAGTTCCAGCTCCAGATCACATTCTCACTGAAAACTTAACAGTCTACAAAAGCAAAAAACAAATCGCCCTGTATCAAGCTAATACGCCTATTTATGAAGTTTGGGACATTGTTACCAATCACAGTTTGAAGTCCAGATTGCCAGCATTTCACCCTACGAAACTGTCCCTTGCCAATACAAATAGGAAGACAGAAAGTCATCCCTACCTCCTGTTAGCATTTGTGAACATTTGCAAATACATTTGTCGTTGTCGGCATCCTTTGTGCTAAAATCATTTCCTGGTTGGCTAATGCTGCTTATTTTGCCGGCTGTCCCTGTAAGTCCTTTAAGGTGAATCCTGTAAGCATGCAAAGGAAAAAAAAAATGTAATTGGCTTGGGTTGTTGATTTACCGTAGTGGAAAATTTTTTGTAATGAAGAATTCCGTTCTACAGAAGCGTGTTCTGTCCTGGTTAGTGTACGAATGCATACTCTGAACAAAATATTTTGTACTGATATAAACAGGAACCAACTTATCATCAAATCCTTTAGAAAAGAAGGATGTTTTCATGAAACCTTCAACACATATCACTTGCACAAGCATCAGCAGAGACCATAGGGCCCTGTAATTTATTTTCCTGCTGCTTTCAGATAAACAGAAGAGAGGGAAATGCAAAATGAGGGGACCACTTCCCAGGTCTGCGGGCATCATCCATTTTGAAACGAGAGTCCTGAGTTAACTGGACAACCTCAAACATCATTTTGACTACGGGGTGGGGAGGGGATGATGGAGAGGGCAGCAGACAGCAAGGAGTGATGATTGAGTCTGGGGTAGAAGTCTGCAAAATGGTGTAGAAAATAAATCCTTACTGCTGCTTTGCCTCGTGTCTATATAGGTAGTGTAATAAGCCTGTTAGACATTGAGAAAGGAACAAACATCATACTAAGTTTGACACTAAATAATAGCCCATACGTTTAGAGTAAACATGCTCGTTGACTTAGGATAGTTACATCTGATAAAACCATTATCAGTTGAAAATATTGTAAGTTGAAAATGCGCTTAATACACCTGACCTACCAAACTTCATAACAGCCTATCTTAAACCTGCTCAGAACACTCATCAGCCCACAGCTGGACAGTGGGCTGGACCACTGGACCACACCATGCACTATTAGGGTATCTTTTGTTGCCCCTGTGGTCGCGTGGCTGACTGAGAGCTTCAGCTTGCTGGCACTGGCCAGCATCATGAGAAAGTATTGTACAACATATGGCTGGCCCGGGAAAAGATCAAAATTTAAAATTCAAAGCATGCCTTTTATTGAATACATATCGCTTTTGCACCATCATGAAGTTGAAGAATCCTAAGTGGAGCCATAGTAAGTTGGGGGCCATCTGTGTTAAAAAAAATACGGCTTACATCAGTGATTTGTGTGCCAGCAAGGAGAATACAGGGGAGGAGAGAACAAAATATGTTTTGTTTTGGCTTTTTATTTCTCATAACTTTGCTGAAGAGTCACTGATGTAAAAAAGCCCCTTGGCAGATGGTTCAGGACAGATCAGAACAGGCATTTGCGTAACGGGGAGTGCCCTGGCACCGTCTTGGCTCACGGAGTGTCTGACCCTCAGGGCCAGGAATGTCGAGTCCCCACATCCCGATGGAGATACAGGCACGTGAAGACCCAGGGGAGGCTCCTACAAAGCAAAATCCTCCAGTGGCAGCAGGAGAATTGTACTTTAAGCCCCCAAATGATGCTCCTCTTTGAAAAACCTGCTGACATTTGCCAACCACTACCTTGGAAGTGCTACAATTTCCAAGAATTCATGTGGGAACAGAGTGCAGAGAGGAAAGGTTTACTCAGTTCTGTCTGCTGACCAGGCTGGGGCAGGCACTTACACAGGTATGTGCATCGGGTGTTCATAACACGCCAGAGATGGGCAGCATCCCTGTTGTCACATAGAAAGCTGTTGAGGTGCAGAGCTGTGAACTTGTCCAAGGTCAGGCCTTGTTAAGCTGTGGAGCAACTCCAGTGCTGCGTTTCCGGTGAGGCCATGTGAAAGGGAAATTCCCTAAGGGTGGGTGCTAAGTTACTTTGGTGTTACATTAAGAAAAATTTTTAATATAGTAGCCCTGGAAATTTCATCATAAGGCATTGACTAGACATCTGAAGCTGTTTTCTTAAATGTTTCAGAAGTGAGACTGGCCCTAGCTCAGTCTCTAACTACCTGCTGCAAAATGTTAATACGTTAAGTTTTCATCATCATTGGGATCCTGAAACACTCTCCTCCTTCTCAGCCTCTCCTCATTAGCCCTGGATGGGGTTGAGATGAGCCACCAAGCCTGCCTCTCCTCCTGGTCACTCTCCTGCCTCCTTGCACCAGAGCAGTTCTCAAAGCAGAATAAGGGAGAATAATAGTATTTGGTACAAGTCTCTGTTGTAAAGGTTGTATGATCTTAGATCCTTCTGTGGCCCACTGGTTTAAAGTACTTTCTTTAAAACTTGGTTATTAAGAATAGCCACGTTCTTGGAATTGCTTTACATTGGTACGATTTTATATAACAGTGGAGTAAAGAGGTAATGTCAACATTTAACAATTACATCTCAGTGTTTATAAAAAAACCTGCTAGAGTGTGTATGAGAAAGAATCAAATTCTATTGATGCATTTATCCACTTCTTATAACATGTACTTTTCAGTTTGACAACATTTGGGGAACATTTCTTGAGAGAAAAGCCTTCACCACTGCATACAGTTGGCATCCCAAAGTGTTTAGTCCCCTCACGGTTCTATCACATTAGCATCATGTTTTATTAGGATAATAATTTTTAATGTAATATCTATTTTATATTGCCAAGTAAATTAAACTAAGCTTTAAACTAGTGTGTTTTTTAAATGGCATATCCAAAAATTGATTGCATTTCTAAAGGAAATATCAGTTAAGGACCATCTCAGTTTAAAATATTTTTATAATGTCAGCATACAAGGGTAATGACCCATTTTGTAAAATCTTCTTATACAAACAGTCTAATCCTTAATTTTTGTGTTTCTTTTTTTTTTTTTTAATTCCTCTGTTGTGGATCCCTAACTGTTGCCAGTTGAAAAAATATTTAACTTGGAGGTAAAACAATGACCGACCACTTGTGTCTCAGAATTCATTGAAGTTTTGATCTCTTTGGAGTCAAGTTGGAACTGCTGTGAGGCCCAAACACCTATCTTTTCATTCATCTCAGTTGTTGTCTCTCCAAGGGAGCCCCGTTCTTTCTATAATGAGAACTGATGGAATATGCTTCACTGACTTTCTGAAAGTCACATCAACATTTATCTGTTTTCCAAACATGCTCCTGAATTTTGATCCACCGTGAAGAAGGACATACTGGGCATGGTGTGGTTTTCCGAGGGTTGATCAGGCAGCTTGACTCTCAGCTCCTTCTCCGTGCCGCCCATTGCGACCCTCCCCAGGGGACCCTACTCAAGGACTTTAAAATCGTGTTTACTTTGCAAACTGTTCAGGTCTTGGGATTTCTGTTGAACAGAGAGTCAGAGTTGGTCATTAGTTCAGATGGGACTCCAGGCCAGCTGATGCTGATGACTGTTTTCTGTGATGTTCCTACTGAGCTTCCTTTGCTAACTTCTGACCTTGGAGTAGATATTTCATAATGTGCGCTCCAGGATCACCAGACACCACCAGTCTGTGCTCGTTAGACTCCCAGAGCAGTGTTGGTGACTTATCCATTTTCAGACCAATTCCTTTGGTGCAGTCCAGCACACGGTCTCACTTCTCTCTCCCCTCACCATGGCACGTGCATTTCGGAGCACCTCCGTGTGCACTATGCATGTGGCTTTACCATGCTTGTCTCACACAGTAGATTGTCCAGTGCCTCTGCTGTTCTCTGTCTCTATTCTGATGGCATTGTAGAGCCAGAAAGTAAATTCCTGGTCAAGATTGCCCATGCCGTTATTCAAGATTATTGCCATGGAATGGGTAGAGACAAGGCAGATACTAAGAGAGTGCTGTGAATCGGATGTACTTACTGTAGGAGAGAGGTGATGAACCATCCCACCTAATCCTGCCATTTAAAAATGTGGCAACTAGTCCTGACTTTGGAATTGAACACAACTGAATGAGTTCAAACTTCAGAAAGATTAATTTTTAAAACTTTTTGGAAGAAAACAATATAGTCACGAGTACCCATCTGACATGCTATTCACATGACACATTACAACAGGGGAATTTAACATTAATTTATTCTTCAAATAGTTATGAATGCCCATTATCTGCTAGGCTTTCAAGGTACACAGCAAACACAACAGACAACATACTGTCCCAATGAGGTTTCTTTTATGTTGTTGTAACCAAAGTTAGAATATTAAAACCAGAGAAACTTACATAAAGACAATAATAACTCTAAGAAACAAGATGCTTTTCCATTCAAGACAGTCTAAGAGTAGTTTACATCTTGCTTAAATCAATGTGGTTCTCACTTTCTGGAAAAATCATCCAGAAAATCCTTTAATTTGTTTCAATTATAATAATTTACTTACCTATAATTGAGCTCTTCACTTGAGAGATAGAAATGTTCATACAATGAGTAAGCCTCATTCCCTTCCCAGTCTTTAAGGTGTATTTTAAGCACATAGCGTTGCTGATTGGTCAGTTGTGAAACAAACTCATTTCCCAGCCAGTATTCTCCTGAAGGGTTACCAAATCCCTGGAATCCAAGTTGTAAAATTCAATTATTTCATTTATTTTCTTTACATATTTGAAATCAATAGTCCATCAATTTAACATAGAATAACTATCAGATAGCAGAAATTACATCTGATACTGTGAAAATTCAAGGTCTTTCATATAGGAAAATAGATCTTAGAAAGGTCATGTTAAGAAACTAAGTTTTCCTAGAAGAAGAATAGCATTAGAATAATTAGAACTATTTGGGGAACCACCTGTAGATATATAAGTATGGATAGCTAAATTTGTGAAAGTGTGAAACTGCTGGCTTACCAAAAAATGCAAGCTTGCCTTTAAAAATAGGCCAAGCATTCGCATGCCTTTATTTTGAGATATAGTTTACATGACACCAACCATTCTTTAATGTGGAGACTAAAACACCAGTTTGAAAAACTCTTTAGTAAAAAACTAAGTCAAACGTTATTGGTTAGTTTTGGATTTGTGGTTAAGTTTCTGCAGATCTTGAAAGTTAGTTTTCATGAGGGAAATGACTTCTTTTCACATGGTTTAAAGAATATCCATACCACTTTATATTCTTTCCAAGTCCTCTGAAAATCAACACTGCCATCTTCACGTCGCTGAATAACTGTCCATCCGCCTCCGCCGGTTTCCATGTCACAGTAAGCCTGCCAAGGGGAATGCGGAACGTGAGTGAGGGAGGCCGTCATCTTAAGAATGTGGACACCTAGCATAGGACTTGTGCTGATAGGGTTCTCTGGGATAAGACATAGTGTAAATCTTTGTTGTCTTCTAAGAAACAGATGGTTTTAAATAAATAGAAAATGGTGGATTTGAAATGATGATGAAAATAAGCGGTAATATAATATGAAGTGTAGATAAAAATATGACTTGTCGTCTCTGTTCCAGACTAAAGACCCTACCCCCAGAGCTGACCCAGAGATCAGTGTTTTTTAGAGGTTCATTGTGAATGGGACATTTTGGCAGACAGGTGCTAACCCCCACCTCTCCAACCTGTAGAAAACCCTCGACTCGTGTTCACAGCCTTGAAAACCCTTCACTAATTGCCAGCCCTGTCAGCTCTCCAGAGAGTTGTGTAAAGGAGATACTCCACTGTAGAGTTTCAAGACCCCTGTTGCTTTCTCATGCTGTGGAGCTGTTAGGTTGCATGTGCGATAAAAATCAGGTTTCTCAGTTCATCCCTGAGTGCGGGGGCCTTGAGGCTCCGGCGTACCATGCAAGGTACATGCCCCAAGCTTGGCCTGGCAGCTCTGCCCCACAGGTCAGGACTGCAAGCTCCTCTGCACTTTGCTCACCGCCCATGGCATTTGTCTTCTTAACTCTTTTTATTTCTGCACTTAAATAGGCTCAGTGGGTTTCAACTCTGTCCAGAATACAGAATTTTTTCTTGGGCTAAGAGCATGCATGCTCAATTTCAACTCAGCTGGAGTTTTATTATGAAATTAAAAACCCTTGAAAATAAGATTACATAAATAGTTTTAAATAATGAGATTATAGTAGAACGAAAGAGTTTTCCAGAAAGGAAGATAATTTCCCTACAGCATACGAGGTAGGAAATATTAAAGTTAAGGTTCAAAACTAGTTATAAATATTCCTCCTTTGTGGTCTTTTTGAGTGTAACGGAGACAATCTTGACAAGACAAGTCTAAATGCCAACTGTTCCGTATTTACGAGTTAGAATCCTAAGCATGAGAGCTAAAAGAGAGCCAGGAGAGCGCCTAGTCCTGTTCGTTCACACTATGCATGAGGAAACAGGGACCCAAGGAATTAAGCAGCTGCCTGATATCTCGTTGCAGCCTACTCCACTGTTCCCATCTCTCCAGGAAGGTCATGTGGCTTGTGTTACCTTCCTCAGTGGGCCTCATGTTTAGAAAGATATGTGCCATTAAAGAAAATTACATTTATTAAGAAAACTATCTCCCCATTTTAAATTAATCACACACAGAAAACTGATCACATGTAGAAAACAGATCAGAAAACTGATCTGCTGAGGGCACCCCTTAATATTATCACTCCACATCGATGTTATTATCATCGTTAGCATTGCTACCCACCACTCTCTTCCAAGCACTGTGCCAGATACTTTGCATATATTATCTGCAATCGCATAGCAACTCTGCTGTGATATCACAGTTCTGCATTTTTTGAAAGGGGAAAAGATTGAGTACGGTTAGATTAATTTGATCATTCAGCTATTAAGTGGTATATAGGATTTGAATAAGGTCTCTTTAACTCCTAACTGTGTGATATTTTTTCCACTACATCATGCTGCCAAAAACAGAGAAACTCGACCCTTTTGTCGATAGGCCAAAAGTCCCTCCACACAGTTCCAAGTTGAAATCAGTTCATGAATAATACTGCCTCGTGTTTGCCTGTGGTCAACAAAATGGTCATTGCTGCTCACTTCTGTCAATATGTCTTTTTAAAAAACCATTTAGCAAACCAGCTGAGTAAGCTACATTGGTTTGAGGATGCATGTGTATATATAGAAGTTAGTTCTCCTGTATCCTAAGTGACATACTGGTGTATTGAAGGGACTGGTGTGGTTCTGAGTGAGCCTATCCTTGTCTCAAGAGTATTTGATACTTCAATTTCAAAATCACTGTTATGAAGTTACTGATATTTAAATGCGCGCTGTCTCTTGCTCAGAGAACAAGTTTGTCTTGTTATGGAAGTCAGAGGCAAGACTCTCAAATGTCCAAGAGTCACTGCCAGTGCACAAATGATTTGTGCCATATCACTATTCTCTTTGCATTAGTGATGATGATAAGATTGTTAGAACATTTTCTTAATACTTCATCCAGATTTTTTTAAATAGGATTTATAAAAACTAGAGTATTGTGGTTAATTGGGCCATGAAACTTGCAGAGAAAGACAGTGAACCAATAGAGTTATCCACATAGCCAGAAGATATTGAGTAAAAATGCTGAAATTTAATAGATTATATCAAGATCAGAGAAGCCGAAGTCCTCAGATACTGCCTAAAACCTCAGTACTCCAATTACAGCAAACCTGAGGGCAGTTAATACATTTCATTAGCACACTGTTGCATGGTTTAGAAACCTGATATCTTGTTGTAAAGCCTGATGTTTTTCAGCAAATAATGCTTGAATTAAATGCTATGCTTCAACTCTGAGGCCATGGTTAAGTGACTGACTAAAGAGCAAACACAGAGATAAATATTAGGAGTCAGGTGTCCTGTGAAAATTAGGGAAGGAAACTATTATGTCTCTAACTAGCAAAAGCATATATCTCATGTGTCTGATAAATACCATCTTGCAGTATCTCTCTTGTACAAATACCTAATGAATTTTTTAAAAATGAAGTTGCAATATTTAGGTCTTTTGGGAAAAGATCAGCCCAAAGATCTATTGAACATTCTTTTCTTGAATTAGATGAGCCAAGGAAAAATCGGGTACCCTGCCATGCAGAGAAATTGTCTAGTAGTCTCTGGAGACAGTCAAAATGATGACAGCTCCCATTTATTATCCCTGTCCTAGGTGCCATACCTGTGTTGTCATAAACTCCAAGGCTGAGGGTGTTTTCATCCTGCTACAGATTAGGAAACTGAGAGCTCAGAAAGCTAACGTGACTTGCTCAGAGCCACAAATTGGCAGAGCTAGAATTTAAACCCAAGTCTGTCTGATGATCTCTCCTAAATGAGATTGTGAATTATGGAATCTTAAGTCTGGAAGGGAATTTAGAGGTAAGAATCTAGGCCATTTATTTTAGAAACAAGAAAATTGTGGTTTTTCAAAGATTATTGTTCCCTGCTGTGTAAATGAGTTACTTTTACTGCAGCATTTAAAGGGAGTATAAATCCTAATGCTTCCAGCCATGACCCAAGACTCATATATAATCCCAGAATACTATATATTTGCGTCTTTCTGCAGAACATTTCAGGCAATCCTCAGGGGTGGCATAGTACACTGGGGCGGGAGCCCTGCATAAGGCAGAGAAACGTTTACTTAGGTGCCATGGGGCTGCGGCTGAGCGGCTGCCCCTCTGTGACATCCAACTTTCACACATGACACTCCTGTCCCCATTATCACCAGATTATCACAAGACCATGCCAACATCTGGTGGACAGACAATGGCATGCAAAGAACTGTCATAAAAACCAGATCGCAAAGGGGATTAAAAGGCTTGGTCTAGAGGCTGTTAATTGCTTTTTCATCTGCAGCAGGCTGTTTTGTTTTGTGGTGTTTTCCTCCCCCATGCACCGCTTCCAGGGCGCTAGGGACATTAACTGATTTTCAAGGTTGATTTAACGCAGCGTGAGTGAATTAGAAAGATTTCTTTGGAAAGTATTATCTTGAATAACACAATATTTATCTTTTAAGTTCATAATCAAGGTATATGTTACTGTTTCAAATTCCAGGTCTTTAAAACTCTAATGCTTGTATTTTTAAAGTGTTTTTCTTTGTTCCTTCAGAGTAGGGGAGGGAAAACAAAAGAGTTTTTCTTTGATACCATGTTAAATACTTAGGATAATACTGAGTTCAAAGAGATAATACTTCCAGGAGCCTCTAAAATATCTGTTTTGATATGGTATCCAGTGTATTTTCTATAGTTTGTGTTGTTTCAATATGTAGCTGCTTTTACATTTAGGTGCAAACATATTTATAGACATTAAATATATAAAATCATCCAACATGTATATAACACTTCATACTGATTCTCATGGAATATCATTCTACCCTATCAAACCTCTAAGAGAAGCCACATTGAAATATTCCCTGGGAAAGTGATTTCTTTTTTTTTTTTTTTTCTCATCTAAAGTTCAGTGTCTCCCAAAGCAACTTTAGGAGACATGCTCACTGATAATTCAGCATGACTAACATTTATTGAATTAAGCTATGTAGTTGCTTCTCCTGATGCTATGTGCTGGTTGTTCATTCATGTTACACATAGAAATTGAACATGCACATTCAAGTAAACTCCCCGTATTTAAGAAGAAAATGCATGTTCTCTTTGATGGTGTGTTTTAAGTCTTTCAGACTGCATTAGATGAGGTTAGAACAGCCTGCCCCGGGGGTTCTTATGGTGTGGACTACAGAGTCCTCGTGTCCCTGAGACCATGTCAGCAAGTCCACAAGTTTGGAACTATTTTCAGAACATGAAGACGATATTGTTCTTTAACACCATGTTGTGGGTAGAGCTGCTAGCACCCTCGCATGAAGCAAGTACCAAACTGTTCAAGCCACTATATTCTTTAGTCACATACACAATTAAAAAAAGAAAAAGCCAATATTATTTAAAGATGTCTTTGACAAACAGTAGAAATTCTTAATGTTATTAAACCTCTACTGCAGAGTACATGTCTTTTTATTATTCCCATTTTAATGATGAAATGGGAAATACGTATAAATCACTTCTGCATGTCAAAGTACCATGGGTGTCTGAAAGAAATCACTTCTGTGTGATTGTTTTAGTTGTGAGCTGAATGAGCCTTTTTGTTGTTCATTGAATACAATTGTTGCTTGAAAGAATGATCAAAAGACAAACTATATTTATTCAAACTTCTGTTTTTAGAAGATATTTTGTTTAAAATTAATGAAATGAGTCTGGCTCTTCAAGGAAAACAACTGACAGTATGCATTATTCAAGCAAAATGCAGGGACAATATATTTTTGCAGAAGATAAGATAGATATTTCTCTGTAATTAATATGCAGTGTCAATAATCTATGCACCATGTTTGAACTGAGAGCCCGCGGCCAGCACTGTGCCTGAGGTGGCTGCTCAGGGACTGTTGCTCTGCACGGACCAAAGCTGGGAGGATCTTGGTGTGGCAGTTCTCCTTGGTCATTTGTCACTGCCTAAAATGACCAGCTTAGAGCCAGAGTTAACAATGGCAGACTAATCTTACCTTTGTCTCTTCTGTAGAATTAGGAAAAGTTAGCGTGTAGATGCCGTTAGTGGTAAGTCCCGATTTGAATACTTCAGCACAGTCTCTGAAAATGATTGGCTCTTCTTTGGCAGCAAAGGGGTTCTTAGCTGCTTTTGAAAAATAGTAAGGATTTTAATGGAGTTCATGAAAAGATAAAAATTTGTTACTTTAAGGCCCAATCATTTGGTGAGTTTTATTACATTTGAATTCTTATGATAAGCAAAAGGATATACCAGCTTTTTACCTTTTCCCAAATAGTTATTCTTTCGGCTTATATTCCTATGAATTCTCACAGATTGTTACAAATAATCCAGACTTCCTTTTTTTTTTATCATCAACTACATGGAATGCAAGTACTTCACAATCAGCTATAATAAATTATTACTTTTTAAAAATCTTCCATCTTGAGTAAAATAGGACAAAGTTATTACAGAAGAACAAACAAAGAATGTACCCAAACCAGTGTCACCTCTACAACGGCTCCATTGCATCCCCCACTCTTTTTTTTTCCCTTTCTTTCTTTTTTTATTTGCTTTTTTTGTTTTGCTTTCTTTCACATAGCTGATGCCAAATCTTAATTTTCTTTAGAGTATTGGGTGGAGACATTTGGTTGTCTTTGGATTTTTAGCAACTATACCGTAACAGTTTGCATTAAAGAGGAGCATAATGTTGATTTATCTGTATCTTTGGAATTCTTCTTCTAAGTCTAAAAATTCTAGGGCTGTGAAATTCCTTCACATTTTTATCCTGCTCTCAACATTTGGACTTCCCATTCCTTTCTTTGCCACATTAAAAAAAAAAAGAGAGAGTGCATGCGTGGTGTGTGTGTGTGTGTGTGTGTGTGTACGTTTATATTCTTGAAACCACATGTATTCTATTCCTGGGCCCTCCCGAAGCCCAGGCCTCCGTGGCTGGACAGCGGGCGGGCAGCGCAGGCCGTGGAGGGTCACGGGGAGGGAACCTGCTCTGTTGCAGGTGCTCGTTTTCTTTCTGCCAGAGTCTGGGCTACACAGTTCTCTCCACTTTGCCTCATCAGAGCTGGCACCTCGCACTGTCTCGGTCCCACCAGACAGCGTTAGATGATCATGTCTCCCTTTTTCTGTGACTGCGACAAAAGTATGATTTTTCTAGATTACGAGAGAGCGAAACTCCAGCTGGAAAGCACGCACTGCACTGGCCCCGCAGGGCCGACCGCCTCCTCTTGTCAGACTGTGCTGCTGTTTCTGTTCTTTGTTTACTTGTTTAAGGAGGAGCCTTTTTTAAGTGTTTCTATTAAAGCTGGGATATCAGAATGACCCAGGGAAAATATGGGAACGTATTTCTTATGGAAGTGGAGAATACGCCTCCATGATTCTTGTGCAAAGCTGTCAGTGTCAAGAGAGTGCAAGTTGAAAGGACTTTCTGAAATAAACCATAGTAAGAACTAGACCCAATTTGTTTAAGCAAAAAAACTCAAAAATGCCACAGAGATTATATATCACATCTTTAATGACCGAAGATGCAGCCCTCTAATATCCCTCTAATATCTCAGAGAAGCTGAAAGGTAAAACGATAAAGAAGACAGAATGTATGTACGGACCTGGTGGGAGAAGGGAGGTAGCATCGCTTACATGCCAATTTATGCCAGCACTGGAAGTATTATCTGATTTTATCTTCACAACAATCCCGTGGGTCCAGTATTGTTTTTCCCATTTAAATACTAAAGAATCTAAGATCTACTGTGGTTTGGTAACATGCCCAGCCCCATCCATCCAGCTAATGATGGAACTAACTCAAAAGAGGCTCTTTAGTGCCGTGAATCAAAAGTATGTTTGGCGTGTTTTGCTTCATAATAATTAATTACTATAATGTATATTTCCCCTCACCCCTCTCTTCCTTCTCTTTTTTAACTGGTTCTATATCAAAACCCTGTAGAGCTTTCATATGGAATATATGAAAGATAGCACCTTTTCTGAAAGATGACAATGTTTTAGAATTTTGGGAGTTTCACTGACTAAAGGTTATTAAAACTGAAGAAAAAATGATATATGTAAACTTTACTTACAGTTTGATGTTGATATCATAGTCAATAAATTATGAACTGTTTCCATCAGATCATGTTGCTGCTTTTGAAGAACCGAATTATTCACTGTGGCAGTCACTAATTGTTTTTCTAGTTCTTCAATGATGGAATTTTGCTTGGATACTAACACCTGCAGCTGATCTTTCTCTTCCTTTATGGACTGTAGTTGAACTATGTGCTTGTCTTCCATATCCAGCACTTTCTTTTCTAGGAAACTTGTAAGGAAAATACTTGTTAGTTAGTGAAGGGTATTCTAATTATCTGATTACCTTCAAAGCCAAGTGTTTCATAAACATATAGTCATTTTCATAATTCTAATAAAATCTTTTATATTTGAATTTCTACTTCTCTAAGGCACTCTGTTAAGATGTTATAAAAGTTATAAAGTAATAAGATGTTGCCATAGCCCCAAAGAATCTCTCAAACTTGCTGAGCAGATTAGATATTTAGATATATGTGGATACATACACATACATATAAGTGTGTATCTGTGTATGTATGTATATACTTATATGCACACACTTATACATACACACTGGAAAAGATACCCCCTTCTGAGCCATAATAGGTAGAATACTAGTGTTACAAGCTTCAGATGCTGTAGGAGTTTAGGAGTGATAGTATTTCAAGATGTAGTGCTCATGAAGTGATTTTTTTGTGAGGGGAGAGTGAGTTGGGCTAGATCTTTGGATGAGATGTTAGCTTTCTCCTAAACAACTTATATTTTAATAATAATCCTAATGATAACAGTATTTAATGCTATGTGGAAAATACTCCTCTGTGAGGGAGATGAATATCTGCCCAGGTTCAAATCTGCTAGCTCACCCCATGACTTGGAGCGATTTCATTAATCACTCGTGCACCAGTTTCCTTGTCTGTACATGGTGATGATATTACTTAACTTCATGGAGTTGGACTGACAAATCAATGAGTTTTAAAATGTAAATTTTACATTGCTTACACTGGTTCCTGACACACAGTAACTCAATAAATGACAGGAGTTTTTTTTTGTTTTTATTTTTTATAGAGATGGAGGTCTCTCTATGTTGCTCAGGCTGTTCTCAAACTCCTGGCCTCAAGTGATCCTCCTGCCTCAGCCTCCCAAAGTGCTGGGATTTCAGGGATGAGCTACCATGCCCGGCTGATAGTTATCATTAATATTAATATCAACATTATTATCCCCATTTCCAATGAGTAAATTTAACTTGAGACAATAAATATTGAGACAATAAATCATATGCCTAATGTCACATATAACAGGTGGCATGGGCAGAATTCAAACCCAGATCTTTCTTCTCTAAGAAATTTAACCAGCACTATCTCATATATTTAATACTTAACAGTTCAAATGTGAGCTAGCCCCTTCAAAAACTTTTTAAAAATTATTTAGAGAGCTGATAAAGTTATGCCATGTAAGTCCCAAAAGATTTTATTAATGGTTATATAGTTTGGCTTTTTAATTTCAATTTATAAATATATGTTACTATGCTTATGTTAAATTAAGAACACATCAGTTTGAAACTGGAAATTTACTGTCCATTAAACTAGAGAAAACAATTCCAAGTGTGTACAATCTATGTAAATACCAAATGTTTAAGAACGTAAACTGTTTCCCAGGAACAGATTGAAAGACATACACAGTAAGAGTACTTGGCAGTTGTTTTTTTGTTTGTTTGTTTGTTTTGTTTTCTCTTTAGAAACAGAGTCTTGCTTTTTCACCCAGGCTGGAGTGCAGTGGTACAATCACAGCTGACTGCAGCCTCAAACTCAGCCTCAAGCAATCCTCCTGCCTCAGCCTCCTGAGTAGCTGGGACTACAGGTGTCTGCTACCAAGGCCCACTAATTTCTTAGTTTTCTTTTGTTTTTTGGTAGAGATGAGGTCTTGCTATGTTGCTCAGGCTGGTCTCAAACTCCTGGCCTCAGAAGATCCTCTCATCTCAACCTCCCAAAATGCTGGGATTACAGGCATGAGCCACTGTGCCTGGCTTGTTTTTTATTTTTATTTTTTTTAATAAGATACAAGAGGTTGTGGGGGAAAAAAAAAAGATATAAGAGGAAAATTGGATAGTGTGACCCTTAATGGTAAGTCTTCCTTTCTCTGTTCAGTCACTATTAATATATTGTTCAGCACATACGAGGCTTTCTCTGATAACTGCAGGGAAAGCAGCAACAAAGGCCCTTCAAGATCTTCACCCTGTTGGTACAAGCCAGTAAATAGAGCTTTCAAGATATAGGCACTTTTAAAAATAGTGAAACAGTGAACCAGATGTCAAATCCTATCTCTGACATTTCCCCAGATATAAAATTTTGTGGAAATGAATTTGCCCATTGCAACATTTTGTTTTAAAGGAAGACGACCTCTTATTGCCTTTTTTAAGTCATCTATAAGTCAATTATCCTCTTTAAAAATGAAGTATATCAGTGATGACATCTTTGTGTTTCAGAATGACTTTGCAGCCACTAGCAAAACGACCACAGCCCCTTCTAGTTCAAATGCTTTGTAAATCGATTTTGCCCTTTTTTTGACAGTAAAATTTTCTGAATCTTTAACCCTGAAAACAACATTAACCAGCCAAGGAATTGACTACTGATTACAGTTCTTGTGCGTAATCAATAACAATTGGTATTAATAATCATTAGTAGAAATTCAATTATAGCCCTTGAATTTATTCCAGCTCTCTAGTCATTGTATTAATAAATCAGTGTGTGACAATGAGTATTTTAGTTTCATTAGTTATGTTTGACACAAGGTACTTTTATGGAAAAAATATTGTGAAGTTTAAATTTAATCTTATTTAAAACTAGATTTGACTTATGGGAAAATTACATTATCAGTCCATGTAAGTTAAACAGGGGAGTGGCAGTGGGAAATGTGAAGGATTTAAGTTGAAAAAAAAAATGTGGAGGATCTTTTAAGCAAGAATGAATAGAAAGCACAGCACGCTAGAGTATGGTTGGAATCACTGTTCTATACATTGTGAAACTTTGACATACAAAGACATTTCCATGAAATAATTCAAAAAAAAAGTAGCGCAAGTTGTTGGCAGTATTTCAGAGTAGCTCACTGAATAGCTGACTTAGTATAGCAAAGTTTGCTTTTTCTAAGCAGTGTGTCCAAACTAAGGAATGAAAGTCATACTTTTTTAGGTGAATGGCAATATGATTTGACAAGTATTAACAAAGATGACATGTGGGTGATATAATTGACATATTTAACTGATAATTTTAGCATTGTGGCATATGAAATTTGAAACCTAAGGTGGGAAACAGTATTCAGTACTAGGGTATTTTTCACAAACTGGACACATCCTAGATTTCTTAAGTACATTATTGTCATGGCAAACCAAATAAAAGTAATCACCACCTCCCACGTATACCCTGAATTACCGCAACATACTAAAGAGAACATTATTAAGACAGACCATTTTAAGTAAATGAAATTAGTGAGATTATTATATCTCAATTATTGTTCTCAAACCTTTCTTTACTACTTTGCAGAAGAGAAATTTTAAATATGAAAGAAAAATATTTGGATTAAAAAAATCTAATTGCTTTTCAAAACCCTAAATCAATAATGAGTTAAACTTGATACCCAAAGAACAGAAAATAATTATTTCAGCTTAGTTCTTGATTAACAGTAAAGAATGATTATAAGACAATAAGTTTATCGTCATTTTTGGTTAAGAATAAAGAACTATTTAAATTGTGAAATAGAAAGAATATATCGTTATGAGCATGCTCCATGTCATATATACATGTCTTGATTAAAAACAAGGAAATAAGCACGCTGGGTATGTACATAAAATTATCCTCATATGTCCCCAGCTGGAATAAACCTGTGAAAACAAACCTCACTTATCACCTAAAAATTTTTTTCTGTTTATCTTGGGGGTTTTCTATATTTTATTTAAATATTAATGCAATCATATGTAATATTAACTTTTGTTTTTACCTTATCACATGTTTTAGGAGGAAGTATTTCATCATGAAACATGCATTGGCTTACACATTAGTGTAGCTTCCCCTGCTGTAGATCATTTTGCATTGGAAGACACTAAGTCCCCAAAAGCAAAGAAACTTAGTCAAGTTAGTATTAAAATGCCTAGGCTCGTGTTACTTTTTCTCCACAACCCTCCTAGCATTATCCTTTTTTATAGATTAATGTGCCTAATATTGAGACAGAGTTTGGAGGCTTCTGCAAGAGAATCCTTAAGGAGCCAGAGAATGATAAACAAAATTGAGGACTGTATTAGAAGGTCCACGTCAGTTCAGGAAATTTCCCTGCACCCTCCCCCTGCCCTTCCCTCCTCAGGTTTCTGATCCTTGTAGTGGACATGAAGAAATCCATCATTTTGAGAATTCGTCATTGGAGACAAGCTTTCATATAGGAAAGTATACAGGTCTGAATTACAAATATTTTTGTGCCGTTATTACCTGTTCTTATCTTGCAATTTGTTTATTTCACTGGTCTGATCCAAAATCTGTTTTTCCAATTTGTTTGTAGAAAGGGAGTGTTCTAGAAGCTGAAGTTCAAGTCTCGTTGTCTGATTTAATACCTAAATATAACAAAATGAAATTCCTATTGATCATTTTAATTAGTTCAATTTTTAAGGTTCCTTTTAATTAAAGTACCCACGTTATATGAAAGCATAACTAAAACATTATTAACTCAAATATCTTATTTTGGCATATTTTTCATTTTCAGAAAAGGTTTGATGTCTTAGATTATATCCGAGTATGTTAAACATTTTTTTTCCCACCATGTCTTTATTTTGGAAAGTGGTTAATAGTTCTGGACAATGGTGTTCGTGTCAAATAATAGAATGTTATTTTTCTAGTTCTGCCATATTTTTTCATTTCTTTTCATGCAGTGAGACAAGTGGGAATATAAAACAGTCATATTTCACAGATCAAAAGTTGTTGATAAATGAAAAAATATTTTCCCTCATCTCAAAACAAAATGCTGTTCTCATATTTATTTGTTTTTCAGTAGACAAAGGGATTAGAAGTCACATGCTTCCATTATATAAAAATATAGCTGATTTTTAGTCTAGCATTTTCTAGTCTGTATCCACTTGTTTTAGCCTTTTATTTTTTCTTTGCCATTTTTCTTTTTCCTATTTTAAAAATCATTTCCACCAATCAGGAAACAATAAAATGTCAATATAAAGTGGAAACTCAGTTCTGCTTTGTGGGCCTTTCTGACATACTGTATAACATGTGCGGCATCGCCTTTCCCATTGTATACAAGCAACTCTAAAGACAATTCTTTAGTGTTTGGCTGCCCTTTAGCAGGAAGAATCGATTACTCACATCCTCTGTGTCATGGTTATTCAGGATGTGATATCACATGTAAATGCAAGTCAGAATTGTTGCCAAGGAACCAGGGACCTTGGAGGAAGCATTGTTTGCTGGGTATCTTTATGTCATTTGCAAAAGCCTTGGTCTGGCACCACAATGTGAGTTTCAGGGATGGTCTTGTACTCAGTCAAAGCTAGTTGAGTTCATATCATGAAAATTCTTCTGTAAATGAAAAAAGTCCTTGGCCAATGTAAGAATTCGGGTTTTAATATTAACATCTGGAATATAGATTTGATTTGGCCTACATCTTCTTTGAGTCCAAACATTCTGTGTTATTGTTGTGTTGTTTGTTTTGTTTTTTGAGACAGGGTCTCACTCCGTTGTCCAGGCTAGAGCGCAGTGGCATCATCATAGCTCACTGCAGCCTCAAACTCCTGGGCTCCAGCCATCCTCCTGCCTCAGCCTCTAAAGTAGCTAGGACGACATACATGCACCACCACGCCCAGCTCAAACATTCTATGTTGGTTATTTCTAAAAGGAACTGGAAAATTTGGTCTCCTGTTTGATTCATAAGGATTATTAAATGAGTACACTTGGGGGAGAGGCAGGGAAGGATGGTGAGCAGGTTGTGATTGACCCAAGAGTAATTGCAGCGTTTTTTAACGTCACTTTTCTGAAGAGCGTCAAACAGCTAGACAGGCCTCAGGGCCTCTGTCCGTGGGTGACTGTTACATTAGCCAGGTCAAGTCACTGTCTCTTTGGGATCTCAGACCTGCAAACATCCCACCATTGCCGGTTTGATAGCCTATTGTTCTGGAAGGCTAGAATAACCTTGATTCTAATTAGAAATTTCCATATTTGAATTTCAACCTATTGCACACAATCAGTAACTGCTTTTACCTCTTGGGATTAAGTTTTTAGTACCTTATGATCCATTGTTTAAAATATTCATTTATATTTTTCTAAACTGTTCTGCTAGAATCTTAAAGCCAAAAGAGAACTTGGCAATGGGTCGTCTGGCTCAGCCCCTTATTTCATAGTTCAAACCACTAAGGCCCAGAAAAGGTAAGTGCCTTGCTCCTGTTTATCCATCCGGTTCATGGCGGAACTGGAACCGTGATGGAACTGAGGGCTCTTGCTTGCGGTCACGCACCGTCTGTGTTGCAGTACGCTGCCTTCCGCTGTTCCACTTGTTTCCTTCTCATAAACTCATTCCACAGACCGTTTTAACAGTTCTTTGAGATTTAGCTTTTGTTTTAGCTCATGCGTTAGATTCAAGGACAAAGTTTCTGGCTCTCTGCCTCAGTGCTTTTCATTTCTCAAATGCGCAAAGAGTTCAGGGCTTAGCAATGAAAAGTGCTATCTAGAGTCCAGAAAATACCACTGAGGCAGAGTAGCATTTACCTTGTAGTAGTCAGGTGTACATAGCCATGAAAATTACTTGGATGTCCTTAGTAGAATAATTGTAATTTAAACTTGGTCTTAAAAAAAAACATTTACCGATTTTAAATTCATAACTAGCCATAATTTCTTATAAATTCATCCTTTTTCTCCGTAGCTGTGCTTTTTTGTTTGTTTTGTTTTCTTTTCCATTATTTCATGCAGTAACCGCATGGCACAAGGGAGTGCTAGTCTTTCAGCTGACGGGACCATCGTGCGTTTACCATTTCACGTTTTGTTACTTACTTGGGCTTCCACGTCAGTTAGTTTCCGTGTCTGCTCCGCCGTTTGATTCAGCAGGTTCGTTCCTATTTCTATCATCACAGCCGTCTGGTTCTGGACCGCGTTCTGCTGCATCTCCACCATTTCCTTTTTCATGCTGTCCTGGATGTAGTTCTCAAGCTAGGGAGGAACAAGTGTCAGAAGGCAGTCATTAGTCAGGTGCTCAGAAACCTTCTTCCCAAACATTTGTCATCTTTTCCCTATCCTTAAAAAAAAGTCTATTTAAAGACTTGTACCTTGCCATCATTTTGAAATCTTAATGGATTTTTTATCACTAGCAGTGTGATAAAATACGGTGTGATTTTATTTTTACTCAAAATCTAGCAATTTAGTTACATGACATGCAAGAGTGAGACAAACTGCTTGTTGTCGCTTCATCCTCCAGAAGTCCAGGTCGTGGCAGGCCAGGGAGTGGCCAGGCCACAGCTGGGAGCTGGGCAGAGGGCAGTGAAGTGCAGCAGACAGCACACGTGTGTGCTGCTGTGTTGTTGGTTCTGTTCTGCCAGGCTGCAGCTCTGTCTGCGTCATGCAAGAAATGAGAGTTTGGTACTGGGAAGCATCACTGTTTCTACCACATTCTAGGCTCTCAGTTTCTCACAGTACAGACTTCAGATGACATTCTAAAATAAGAGTATGAGGAAAGGAGCATCTTTTGATTTTAACCACCCCTCAGCCCACACTCCATGATGCCCTCCCCCACGTCCTTCTTATTGAGTTCATTCGACCTCAATATTGAACTTTTCCTAACCTGTGTGTGTTTTTCACAATTTCATCATTTCATATGCCAGGCAAACTTTAATCCCACACTGGTCCATTTATGAACGTGCCATCAGATTGGTTCTTCTCCCCCTCAGTTACTAAGGAAGATGGACATGCCAACTAATTTTAGCATTAGCTTAAACACAAGAGAATGAAGAGGCTAATTCCATTGCCATGGGTATAGATATCTGTGGCAGTAAAATTACAGAATTGAGTATACATGCAGGACAGCCTGGTACATGGGATCCGCACGTGGGCTTGGAGTCAGGGAAGCCAGCCCCCTACAGCCTTAGGCTCTAGGTCTAAAGTTGCTTAACCTTTGGGACCCCAGTTTCCTCACATATAAAATGGAGTTTCTGATTAGTCAGAGAAGTGTTTTATTGATGAATTGAGCTATGCCGTTAAAGTCATTGTGTGTGCATAACTCCAGGTGCTTAACATTTAATTTTCTTTCTTCCTTTGTTTTTAAATGGTGATCTAATGGTAACCACCATTCCATTCACTGGCCCAAACTATAAGCTCATGAGGACAGAAACTATATTTTTATTCCTTTCCTACATAGTGTAACAAAATTTTGTATTAAGTTGAAAGTCGATCATAAAACTGCATCTAGTTCCTTTCTTTAAAACTTGAAATTCTCTGCAGAAAAACCATCCATAGTCAATCATCAGACATGATTTCTCCCAAAATGTTAACTGCCAAATAATTCTGTACTTTCTGTCTTTAAGTGCAAGAAAATGGAATGGGACGGGTGGAGTTTCTCTCTTAGAATTCCAAGGCTTCTCTGCTGATGCACTTGACAGAGTGTATCTTACGATTGGTATTTTATGGTTTGGGGGTTAGGCCGGGGTGTATATTTGCTGTTCCAATTGCTTGTGTGTCATCAGTTCCACACTCCCTCTGAGTGCCTCGTCTTGATGCCAGGGGTCACTCTCTGGTGACTGTCCTCCCTTAGTTACTAGGCAGACAAGTCAGCAGGAAGCATGACAACCTGCACTTCAGGCTCCGCATCTGAGGATTCAACCAAATTATCAAAATATTCAAAAAAAATTTAGACGTGGAATATAACAATACAACGAATAATGCAGACTCTAAAACAAAACAGTGTAACAACTACATACACAGCATTTATATTGTACCAGGTATTAAAAGTAATCTAGAGATGCTTTAAAGTATACAGGAGGACTGGGTAGGTTATATGTGAATACTACCCCATTCTACATAAGAGATTTGACCTTCGTGGGTTTTTATATCCTCACGGACCTTGGAATCACTCCCCCACAGATATCGAGGGATGGCTGTGCTAGAGCTCTGAACACTGGTAAAATCATGTAGTTGAAGCATTTACTTTTCCATATGGATCAACATAGAGTAGACCACTATAAAAAAAAATCAAGTGCTGTTACTTGGCAGCTCAAGGGCCCTCTCTAGTAGGGCTTCATAAAATGTGAAGTCCCCGAAACCCTTGCTAACCGTTCATCAGAGCAAGCTCAGGCTTTTTAGTGTCTGTGATCCTTCTTAATTCATTCTTCTTCCTCGCCTGCCCTTTTAAAAATTGTAACCTCTATGATTACAATAAGCTATTTAAAAGAATTCGTAGATAGCAGTTTGCAATTCTCCCCTCTCCCCTCATCGCCATGGGAGTAATGGAATCTTCGAGGTTGACGTTAAAGCCGTATGTCATCCAGAGCAGTTGTCTTTGTTACTCTTAACACCCAGCAAAGATAATATTTGAAAAGATTTATTCTGGGAAGTTTGGAGCTATGAAGATACACTCAAGCTGGAGTTTAGCTTAAATCCATACTCAGAAATAATAATTTACAAAGTGGTATAAATAAAAAGTCTTAATATCCTTGTTGATTTCAGTACTTAAGAGCAGAATAGAAATTATCCTGTCTTTTGTCACTCTACATCACATAACTCGAGAGGGAAAATGGCTCCCCTAAGACCCCCTCCCCCTGTGTCTAGAGCTTGTGGGTCAAATGTGGTTCCATCCATCAAGAGACAGGAGAGGATTGTTTATAATTTGAAAATATAAGTCAAGTTTCAACTTAAATTTAAGAACTTTAAAAGACATACAGGCCTAATTTCTAAAAATAACATTTCCTAACTCTATTCTCATGTCTTTTTCTAAGATATGAAAACAATAGAATGCAAAATACTATTTAAATCACCACTTTTAAGTTTTTCAAGATGACAGGGGTGAGTGAGAGAGAGAATGTGTGTGTGTGTGTGTGTGTGTGTGTGCGCGCGCGCACGTGCACACATTAATCTTACATGGAAGCAAATTACAGAAATATACATACATGTGATGTGTGTATTTGTACACAGATATTATGTATGTAGTATATACGCATGTAGTGTCTACAAATGTTATTTAAATAAAGGGAAATTCTGTGTGATATTCACCCAACTACTAACTAACTGAAGTGTTTGGGAGAAAGATGGAAAAGAAAGAGAAATATCATGTAGTAGATATTTTGTGTTGATTTAAAAAGATGTGTGTTCTTACGCTTGAAGTATTGAAATTAAATTAAGGTTTTAAGATAAATGAATGGCATGACAGTTGGGTAATCTTTAAAAGCAAGGAAGAATACTGTATATTTAGCCCCAGAAACAATAGCAACAGTAATGACCATAGTGATTGTTCATGTTCCTCGGTTACTTGTGATGCCTCAGCTGCTGCGTGACTCTCTTGCTCGGACTCCAGGTGCCTGGCATCAGCATGGGCAGAGGCACTGCTGAGGACTGGGATGCCCTCAGCAAAACGTTAGTTCAGCCCAGAAGCCACTTCACACTTTTCCTGCCTTTTAACAGCCAAAAGTGATATATCTCAGCATAGGCCTGAGTGTGCCAATTCAAGTCCTATAGGGCCTTACAAAACAGATCACCTACCACTCAGGTAAGAGCCATTGTTACCAACAGAAAATCCTAGAATCAAAGACAACCAATGCCAATTTCATCTTCTGGGAGCATCCTGACAAATTAACATGGTTTTTCCTCCAAGGAATAGTAGTAACCTTTAGAATCAGAAAAACTATGGACATTCACGACATAGTGTAAAAATGAACATTTCCGAGTCACGATCTCCCTTTTAACACGGCCTTTCCCTAAGTCGCCGCGTATCCAGGAGCATGAGACCAGACCTAGGAGAGAAGCCCATCGGGCTATCCTCACAGATAAAGGAAGCCTGAAATTTCCCCGTCTCCTGACCTTGATGGATTAGGTCTTTTCTAGTTTATTGCCCTGGAATGTCTTTCTGTTTAGTGTCCCTTTTATTTTTACTGTCTGTGACTGAGACCCAGAAATACAGAAATTTGCCCGTTGAAATTCCATTCCAGCATAAGGAAGTCTTGGTACAAGAAAAAAAAAAAAAATGAGGTAAATAAGCTGTCGTCCACGGGCAGCGTCACACTCTGCTCCCTTCCGGCAAATGTTTCCCATCCTTGTCGTCTGCACTTTGCCGTTCTCATCAAAGCAGCTCGAAGACACTTGAAACTCCCGCGGGAGGGGACATGGTTCTTTCCAACTTCACATATGTGGCATGTGAAACTGATTCACGTGTGCAGGAACATTTGACATCGCCTTGTTGTCTGAGGAGGTTTACGCCGTGATGGGGATTTGTGGGCCCAAAGGCCTCGGAAAAGGTCCCCTGCACACCTGTGACAGGACAGCATGCATCCATCGTGTCCGCTTCTTAATTGCTCAAGCACTCCGCAAAGTGTGGGGCCGTGAGCTGCTCCGCTTTTCTCAGGACTCACACAAATTATCCAAATTTAACATTTTAGGGCCATTGCTATCATCACAGTCCCATGGGTGTTTCCTCAGTGTTATTTGATTAGCTAAAAATAGTTGCACCCCAAACACAGTCTTTAAAACTTGGCAACCCATTGAAGCTCAAGCAACCAGAATAAAATATTTTAGCGTGACATTTATATATTTTTAACGCAGAATATGTTCTGACATCTTTTATTACTCTCCCAGCATTTTGAATGATCAAATTTGACAGGGAAAAATAAGTCCATTTGTGAGGCAACTATGGCAGATTGATTCCACCTTAAAATATTTCTCTGACCATCTTCCTTCTCACCAAGATTATCGTCATTGTTCTTTACACCAAAAGAAAAGTAATCTTGAAACTGGCTCCGTGAAGGAAGACATAGGTAGTGCAAGAAAACTGTCCCCAACTTGCAGATTCTGATGTTGATCTCTCACCAACTGTAGATGCAGGTTGAGAGACCGTTTCTATTTATTATCAATAAATAAAGTTCAGTGTCCTCATCCCTTTTCATTAATTAGTTTTTGCCGATCTGAGTGACCTAATTTTCCTAATAAATTAACCAATAACTTGAGGTTTCCTT